TTGACATTGACCTTGACATTGACATTGACCAGTCATTCTGACCAATCAGAATGTCTGGTTTGTTTCTTTCTCTGCACTGAATTAACCCTCTTCTGCACTGAATTAACTCTCTTCTGCACTGAATTAACTGAAAACTGCATTTATCTTAACCAATCAGAACTGAGAAATTTTTTCATGTATATTATTGTTTGAAATATCGAGAATTATGCAGATTATTACAGGATTATGCGAATTATGCGAATTATGCGTTTGAGCTAAGTTTATGCGCTTTTGCATCGGCGCATAATTCCCCCAGCCCAGTAATTAGTAAATAGTGCCTTTTTTGCTTGTAAAAGTTTTACATGTCTTTGTAGACACTGTTTGTCAATGATGAGGTGCTGCTGTGCGACTGTCCAGGCCTGGTTTTCCCGTCATTTGTGTCCACTAAAGCCGACATGATCCTCAATGGAATCTTACCGATTGACCAGATGAGAGACCATGTCCCAGCTGTGTCTCTGATATCCTTGATATGTCGGCAAGTGCTGACTCAGTAATCTTACTTCGAAGTTACTTTGTGCGCTTTCCTAGAGGCCAAAATCTTTTTTTATGGATGGGCCACTTCTTAAAATACCATATTACTCTTACAGACAAGTCTGATTCTTTGGAATTCGTTTTTTGTTTTGCTTCCACTTGTGAATAATTTGCATACTCTCCAGAAATGTAGGAATGAATGGCGGTGCTAATGCTAACTGAATAGAGTTTAGTTTTTTGTGACGTTCAAGTTCTTAGGTCTTCTTCATATTTGTCTCAGCTGTTTTTGGAGATGCCTCAAAGATCCCTTAATAAAACAGAATGTTACCCTCCAGCATTTGCCGGCATGTGCATCCTAAATTCCAATGAGCAGTTCAAAAGGAGGGGACTTGAACAATTACGCCTCGATCAGGCTGAGCTTGTGCGCCAACTGCGAAGGCTTACTCTATTTTACGAATTGGCTTATAGGTTTGCGTAGATTCCTCTTTAATCTGTTTTATCGCAATTTTTTTTATTTGCAATCTGGAAACTTTTGAAATAAGAGCATTAGATTATGCTGCTGTTTCCTTTAACTTAAACCACCTTTGTCAGAGAATCCCTCGCGGTGTTCTTGAAATAGTTTATGGTATAAACATTGCCCTGCCCCAGGAAGGAGAGGATCCCAACAGAGCTCCTTATGCCGAAGAGCTGCTTTACGCTTATGGCTGTAAGTTTAGTTCACTACCGTGTCACTATTGGTTAATAATGTATTCGCCAGATTTGGTTAAATTTGTCTGTTTTTCTTGCACTGTTGCATCTATGGCACCTTTGCACTTATTAATTTACGTAACAAAGGAATAAAAGAAAGAAAAAAGAATGAAAGAAATGTAAAATCCTTAGGCGAGCCACGGAAAACTTAGTTTTATTTGTAAATTTTGCAATTTTTAGCAAGCCCATCGAGAAAATTGTAACTTTTGCATCTGCTTTCAATCCTGTCAACAAGTTGTTGCTTGTTCGTTATCAATCGAGATCTGCCAATATCATTGCTTTGGCCTTTGGTTGATTTTGCCCTGGTTCCTGTCTCTTTGCACTGCCTACGGCCGTAATCGGCCGGCTTTGGTCTCCAAGTAGTCGACCAAAATCTACTTTTCAAGTGTGAATAATGAATGTATGCTCTTTTTGTTGTTTTTAAGCATAATTTTAAACTCGAGAATCACATGAGGGATTAGCGTCATTGGGAAAGTTGAGGTTTGGAAATTAGAGCTGTAAAACAAAAGAGAGCATGACGTAATGAATGTGGGAAATTTTTTCTCAGATACCAGAGGTTTTATGACATCACATGGTATTCCGGATGAATCCAGGTCAGCTCGATATGTTCTCAAGGATTATGTTAAGGTAAGTGATTCAGCTGATGGTATCTATCGTTAAGTTGTCTTGCCTTCTTCTTACACAACGCTAATGTGGTGTATCCTCATAAAGGAAAACTTTGTTCTGAGGTGTTTTTATCGCATGCAGGGCAAACTTCTCTATTGCATTGCACCTCCTGGACAGCACGAAAGTGAATTTCAGAAGATTGGATACAAACTGCAGAGCGTTGCTGACATTGAATGGAAAGATAAGCAAGCCAAGCAGAGAGCTCTGAAACAGGTACGCGTGCAGTGAAGGTTGTCGAGTTAAAAAAAAATCCAAAAAATTACCAAAATAGCTTGGGTTGCGATTGTGATGTTTGCCTTGAAAAATGAAAGTTAGTTGTCCATGTTGCTTCAAACTATCTTTTAGTGAAAAAATTAGTAATAATTTCTACTACAAAATATTAAACAAAACAAAACAAAACAAACCAAAAAAGAGACCAGAACGCAACAAATTAAAAAAACGAACAAAAAAGTTAGCGGGAGAAATGATTCAATGTGTCTCGACTGGGTAAATGTTTGAGAGCAGCTCAGTGGTAACTACTTATCACTCAAATTTTGAAGCCTGTGCTATTTTCAAAGAGAATGCGAAGACGAAATTAGTTTACATTAACAGACTCAAGGAATTGGCGAGGGAAGCACGAAGTCTTGGTAAGGAAGGCTACTATCTGGTTTCGAAATAAGCACACCCGAGTGATGTCAGTGTAACGGCACTTCCAAAACAAAAAACAAAAAAAAAACAGTCGATAGAAAATTGGATACGCAGCAAAAAGAGTAAGACCAGTCCGTCTTTTTTCAGCGCCGTCTGTCACGTGATGCAATGAAATTCAGCGAAAAAAGAATCACCTCTGTCAGTTTGCGCGGCGTTGACTCCCGGTCACCGCTCGCAGAGTTTACGCTACCGACCTTTTATAGCTAACTTTTTTTAACACACATGTTGGACTTAGGCTGGGAAAGAGGAACTGCTTTCTAGGCTATGCAGAATACCAGTGGATAGTGAATAAATAAAGGCTGATAGTTTCTAAAGAAACTTTTTAGGGCTGCGTCGGTGGGGTTAACGAAATAATTTCAATATATCAACAAAGTTGAAATGGTAAATTGGCCACCGTTACGATTATAAAAGCTGACGTTTCGAGCGTTAGCCCTTCGTCGGAGTGAATAGAGGAATTGTGGGTTGTGCTTTTAAAGGCAGAAAATGGAGCAACGTTATTGGTGGGAACATGGCAACGAGAAAAGCACGAATAAATTAGTGGAATGAAAAGCGTTCGTTGATACCTGTGGGATTTAGACTGCCGGTTTGAAAGATGAGCTTTTGTTCAAGAGTTTTCCGGCTTTCCGTGCTACCTAAGTGTAAGGAAAGACCGCAGATTGCCATATGTTGCTTAGAATGATTAGGTAAACTAAAATGTTTAGCGACTGGTTTCGATGTTTCCTTGTCATTCCTCTCCACGTCGCGAAGGTGTTCTCGGAATCGGTCACCTAGTCCTCTGCCTGTTTCGCCGATGTAAATCTTTTTGCAATAAGTGCAAGTTATGCAATAGATTACATTGGCGGAGGTGCACGTAAAGTGATCGGTGATCTTAATGGATCGTTTGGGTCCCGATATTTTCTCAGTGTTGTGAATGAAAGGACACGTTTTCCATCGTGCACGAGCGCATTTGAAAGTGCCTGGTCATTAGTCTGAAAGTGAATAAAGTCATTTTGAACAAAATGAAGTGATTCTCTAATTATCTTTCAGTTTGTTTAGTAATGTTTCCTTGTCGTATTTTAATCATATCTTAAGTTTATCTTAATGGATGACCTCTGACTTACCAATTATTGTCTCACGTTTAGACGAGTGATGTGGACAAGAAGTTCTTTAAGCAGGTAATTTGTTGAGCAGAGATCATGTAACTGCTCTTCCCACTCCGCAGACCATTTGTCATTTCATTATAGATTACAACAGAATAAGTAGGAGAGCGTTGTAAGTTACTAAGAAAGAATAAGAAAAGAGATGAGAAAAGAGATGAGAAAAGAGATTTGAGGGCCACTAGTTACTCAGTTGAAGCACTGTCCCGTGTTACCCTCTCGTTAAATAAAGTTGATTGATTGATTGAGATGAGGCGCCGTTACAAATTACAGCCACAAGAGAAAGTAAGAATTACAATAGCAAAAAATCTTTTTTTTTTTTTTTTTTAAGCAGGGGCAAGTTCGCTGGTTTACGCGAGGTTTTCACGCCACAGAATCAAGCCAATATGGGGCGGCAATCCCGGCACAAGAGGGTAATGCAGGCATGCCTTATAAACCGTGGAAGAAGCACTATAACAGAAACAAGAGGGAGAAACTCCGTAGGCTCGTGAAGAAGTAAAATTATGCCAGGATCACAGACATCATAGTTGTATTAATTCTATTTTTACTTGTTATCGACAATTCGTCAAAGTGCATTGAAATATATTCACCGAACTATTGATCAGAATTAACAGCTTGGCTATTACCATTATGAAAGAGCAGAAAAAAGGAACAAATTAAAAAAAAAAACTTTCCTTGATCATTTTGAATATATATTTAGCCAACGTTTTAATTGGTTTTTGTGGCGAGAATAGCAACTTTAACGATCATAGGTGATTATTCAGCGGTGTTCAGGTCGAACTGAAGATATCTCTGATACATCCTCGACTTGCAATCTCTAATTTTGTTATTTTATTGCACGCAGTTTCTTACAAACTTAGTACCGAAACACAAGTTCGTAGCCAGGTGAATAGATAAAGTCGGTTTCCTTCCTGTGCCAGATAATTTACACAATTCTCTTATGTGAAATGATGATAAGAGTCTGATGCAGAGAACACGGTACTAAAAACAGCCTGAGAGAAAGCAGTTAAACGAAGTTGATTGCTTTTCCGCATATTCCCGAAGTGGTCTGTTGGTAGCCTTTTAGTGTTGGGATGAAAAAAGTTGCCTCTTAAATTTAAAAAAAAGGAAGGATTTATAAAATGCGTGAAAGATGGGGCATCCTGATCCCACTGATATGTATGAGTTTAATTGAGAGTCATCTGTCGAACAGCAAGTGACTCCATAACTTAATCTTCCATGACTAAGTAAATAGGTGACTTTGATGCCCGCTAATATTTTAGAGAGTGTACTTTTCATCTATGTTGCTGTCATGGATATTTTGTAGGCACTTATAAATCTTCATTAATGTCTTTTGTTTTGATAAGTTGGGAACAAGAATGACTGCTGCTATTTACCGATTGTCGTCAAAAAGTTTTGTGTTTATTGAATGTGGTATCAATCGGAAATAGTGTTCGTCGTAATTTCCAACTTGGGAAACAAAAAAATACGCAACTTATGAAGTTGTGTTTAGAATACTTGAACTGATATATGTACAACTGATGATCTTTTCAACTCTTCTTTACAACTTCTTTTCTGCTTTGTTCAGTTGTATCTCTTTTGGGTCGTTTGTGATGTTTTCCGGCAAAATCTCGGGCTTTATCGTCTAAAACATCTAAAGCCTTTTTCCAGCTAATAGAAGACACATCGTGTCTTTCTAACCAACATGATTGCGTAACAGAGTTATTTCGTGGTTCAGTCTTAATTTTTGGTAGCTTTGTTTGGCCGCTGTTATGTTTTCTATACTCGTTAGAGCCTTTGTCTTCCCCGTTGATAGGTGGCAAACTTAAATCATGTTTGTTTCCTTCTTTGTGTTCAGTGCCATCGTTGACAAAAATATCTGGCAGTTTTAAAACCTGTTGGATTGCATCGTTTTCTTCGTTGTAGATGAAGTGTCCTGGAATTTCATTTAGTTCTTTACCAAAACTATCATTAACACCAGTCTCGGTATCCAAGGAGATTTTACCAAGTTTCCGTCCGTATTTGCTTCGTCCAACTCTTCGGGACCGAGGAGTCTTCATCATGCGTGAAATGAAAAAAGTGACAGTGTTCCGCTGAAAGTCAATTCAGCGATGATTATTTCTGAAACAATTTCCATAACAAGCGTCTCTTGTCAAAGAGTACAACATGACGGAGGCGAGTAATTCGTGCAAACAATCTAGTGTTTTGGTAGCAAGGAAGTTCTAAAGAAACCTTCTGTAACTTGTACGCGAAAAATCTCCCGAAATTACACAAGCCAAACTATCGGTCTACCGAAATGAGAAAGTTTAATTCGTCATTCTGAATAAATTACAAATCCGTTCCGTTATCCTTTGGTTAAAATGACTTAATTTTACTTCAGGTGCTCTCTTGGGATATGAGGAACAAATTAGGCTGTCAAAAACGTTTCACGGTTAATTCCTATTTTCGTCGCTAATCCATTAACAAAGAACTGTTTTCGGGTAGCCGGCGACAAACAAACTCTTTTACGTTTATAAGCTTTTTCTCTGTGAAGAGCACTCATCTTAAGTTTGAATTTTGACAACCCGGGTTAATTTTGCACCGTGTCTCTATTGCTACTATACGTATGATGCACGATCCTCGCAGTAGAGAGCGCTATTTATGCAATAGCGAAAATTAGACCTGAAAAAAATCAGGCCTATACGGGATTCGAACCACTGACCTCTGCGATACTAGTGCAGCGCTCCACCACTTGAGCTAACAAGCCAACTGGGAGCAGGCCGTTAAGTTGATTCGTAATAAACCCGTGATGATAAATCAGATATGATGAATATATGAAGTTCATATATTTTGAACTGCGGTTATAGATACGTATGATGCACGATCCTCGCAGTAGAGAGCGCTATTTATGCAATAGCGAAAATCAGACCTGAAAAAAATCAGGCCTGTACGGGATTCGAACCACTGACCTCTGCGATACTAGTGCAGCGCTCTACCAATTGAGCTAACAAGCCAACTGGGAGCAGGCCGTTAAGTTGATTCGTAATAAACCCGTGATGATAAATCAGATATGATGAATATATGAAGTTCATATATTTTGAACTGCGGTTATAGATACGTATGATGCACGATCCTCGCAGTAGATAGCGCT